TATTTAAATCAATAATTGCATTAAATATAAATTGCCTAAACAGTATAATTGAAAAGTAGATATTATCAGGTGGATTAAAAAAAAAAAGACCCAACTATATGATATCCATAAGAATCCTAATTTAAATATAAAAACACAAATAAATTAAAGATAAAAGGATGGGAAAGGATATATGCATGCTGCCATTAATAAAAAAGAATTGGGAGTGGCTAATATCAGACAAAGTAAACTTTGGAATAAGGAATATTATTAAGGAGCAAGAGAGATTTTATAATGATAAAGATGTTGAAGTAACAAGAGGATAGGCAATCCTAAATGTGTATGTATTTAATAACATAGCATCAAAATACATGAAGCAAAAACTGGTTAGAATTGAAAGAAGTAAACAAGTCCAAAATTATAGGTAGAGATTTCCATACATTACTATCAGGAATTGATAGAATAAATGGACAGAAAATCATTAAGAATACAGTAGGCTTGAACACTATCAAAACTAACATGAGCTAATTAAAATTTATAGAACAATCTACCCTGAACTTCAGAATGCATATGTGCTCTTTATTTATTTTTTATTTTTATTATTTTTATTTTTTTTAAGGTTTTATTTATTTATTTGACAGAGAGAGACACAGCGAGGGAGTGAACACAAGCAGGGACAGTGGGAGAAGGAGAAGCAGGCTTCCCGAAGAGAAGGGAGCCCAATGTGGGGCTCGATCCCAGGACCCGGGGATCATGACATGAAGATGCTTAACGACTGAGCCACCCAGGTACCCCTATTTATTTTTTTAAAGTGAGCTCTACACACAACATGGAGGTTGAACTCATAACCCCAAGATCAAGAGTCACATGCTCTACCAAGTGAGCCAGCCAGGTGCCCCTACATACATGTTCTTTTAAAGTCCATTTGGAATACGCACTAAAACAGATCATATTCTGGGACATTAAACAAGTCTCAATAAATTTAAAAATATTAAAACCATGTACTGTATGTTTTCTGATAACAAACTAAACTAGTAATCAATAACAGAAAGACATCTAGAAAAATCCCCAAATCCTGGAAATTAAACACCCTTATAAATAACCCATAGAATCAAAGAAGAAATCACAAGGGAAATTAGATAGTATTTTGAACTGAATGAAAAACAGAGCACAGGTATAAAAATCTGTGGGATATAAACAGAAATCTGCAGGCCCTGATAGATTCACGGGAGAAGCTACCAAATATTTAAAGAAGCATTAACACAAATTTTGGACAGTTTCTTTCAGAGAATGGAAAAGGAGGTGACACTTCCCAACTCATTTTATGAGGCCAGCATTCCCCTGATACCAAAACCAAAGACAGTACAGAAAAAGAAAACAAACCAACATGTCTCATAAACTTAAGATGCAAAATTCCTTAACAAAATGTTAGCAAATTCAATCCAACCACGTATAAAAAGAATTACATACCTTAATGAAGTGGTATGCAAGGGTGTGGTTCAACATCCAGAAATCAATCAATGTCATCCACCATATCAATAGGCTAAAGAAGAAAAAGCATGTGACTATATTAAGTGACAGAGGAAAAAAGCATTTTACAAAATCCAACACCCACAGCAGAAGACAGCAAACTCGGAAAAAGAGCATTTACAAAAAACCTATAGCTAATATCATATTAAATGGTGAAAGACTGAATTGTGCCCCTGTTGGGTTGGGGCACAACCCAAATGTATACCAACTGATAAATGGATAAATAAATTGCGGTACAATCCATTCAAAGGAGTCCTATTCTGCAATAAAAGGGAATTAACAGCTGAGACATGCAACGACATGAAAAAGTTTCAAAACATTATGCTAAGTGAAATATCTTGGACACAAAATACCATACACCGCATGATTCCATGCCCATGAAATCTTTTTTTTTTTTTTAAGTAGCCTCCACACCCAGCATGGACACCAATGTGGGGCTTGAAGTCACAACCCTGAGATCAAGTCATCCTGATATCAAGACCTGAGCTGAGATCAAGAGTCAGATGCTTAACCAACTGAGCCACCCAGGTGCCCCTCCATGCACAGGAATTCTTAAAAAGTTAAAACTATAGTTATAGCCGATTAGTGACTGCCAGGAGCTGGGGTTTGGACTGGCAACTGACTACAAAGGGGCAGGAAGGAACTTTTTTGGGGGGATGGAAATATTACACATCATGAGGTGGTAAAAGAGATACTTCTAGAACCTCCCTGAACTCCCTATCATCTGGTATATCCCACATTCTGATTGCATCCATTCCTTAGCACGCTCTACCATTCTCTTCTCCTGTATGAACCACCACACCCCAAAATATACACACTTCACCAATTTTTCGAGGAAAGCCCTATTTGTGACAAAAGCTGCTACAGTTCACAGCATCTAAAACAAGGGACAAACACTGCAAGTTGGCAATAGCAGTGGTCATGAGAAAAGCTGGTTATGAACAGCTTCTAAGTGTCAGAAAAATCATTCACGGGGCGCCTGGGTGGCTCAGTTGGTTAAGCGACTGCCTTCGGCTCAGGTCATGATCCTGGAGTCCCGGGATCAAGTCCCGCATCGGGCTCCCTGCTCAGCGGGGGGTCTGCTTCTCCCTCTGCCCTCTTCCCTCTCGTGCTTTGTCTCTCATTCTCTCTCTCTCTCTCAAATAAATAAATAAAATCTTTAAAAAAAAAAAAAATGAAACGTGGAGGAGGTAAATCAAGAAGAACAGCCAACAAGTTAATGGATCCAGCCAAGAGGAAACAGGTTAGAGTCAGGAACAGACAGATAGAGAAGAAACATAGGTAACAAAGTGCAGAGATCAGAGTCCATGAGCAAGACAGTTAGATGAATGTATTATTTACAGCTTCCCAATTGCGCGCCACACCTCTTTTTGCTGTACCCTGTCAGTCTTTTTTTTTTTTTAAAGATTTTATTTATCTGACAGAGAGAGAGACAGCAAGAGAGGGAACACAAGCAGGGGGGTGGGAGAGGGAGAAGCAGGCTCTCTGCCGAGCAGGGAGCCCAATGCGGGGCTTGATCCCAGGACCCTGGGATCATGATCTGAGCCGAAGGCAGATGCTTAACGACTGAGCCACCCAGGCACCCCAGTACCCTGTCAGTCTTAAAGTGTTCATACCTGGATGGTTTCTGACTCTGTTCTCCATAAACCTTTCTCCTGAGTGTTACTAGACGGGTTTTATGGGGTAAAAGAGGTGAAAATTGCCAGAGAGTTATAGTCCTTACAGTAGATGGTAGACTGATATGTTAGTTTCTTATATGTGGTTCCTACTAACAGGGCTAGGGTGAAAATACCTGCCATGAGAAGGTAATGTCAGGTGTTATGAGGGAAGGATTAAACCAGGCATAAGCGTTGATTCAAAGAGGTAGAAGCAGAGGTAATCCTAAGGGTAAATCAAAGTCATTGTAAAGAGAAATTAAAAGTTCATGCCCAAGGACAACGTTAAGCATGAGATCAGAGGGACAAGTATATGCCCATAAACCGGAGGCGGGGCAAGGGATCAAGAGCCAAAGGCATTAGAAATATCTTCCCAAAGCAGAATGCAATCCTGAAATAAATATTTGACATTCTAAGCTGTGCACAATGTATCAGAGCAGGAATTCATCTACATTGAGAATTGGACTCATGTGCTAGGAGTAGCTGGCCAGTTTAAGGATCCAGACAGGTTAACCTCTTCCAAAATGTCCCTCCTATCAGACAGGATAGACCTGGAGTTACCCATCTAGGTATTCTTGACTAAGAAATGGAGTTGCCCTCTGGGTTGTGTATGAGTATCCTTTAAGCATCTTTCAGTCTGGGCCCCGCCCATTGGGCCAGAGTTAGAACTATTCTTAGAGGCTGTGGCTACATCAACCTCACCAATCACTTGTTTGGGGCTTCATATAAGATTGCTGGGGTGAGTCTTTGGGGTGTGTAATAGAGAACAGGTGCTAAAATTTGAGGTAGAAACCTCATAGAGGTTCAGGATCATAGCAGGAAGAGGTGGTGGTAAAGCAATAAATACCACAAAAGGGAGCATTCAGAGGAGGGGGGTTCAGAGAGCTATTATATATAAATTCAGAGGTTATTTCTGGATTACTCACTTACCTGTTCATCTTTGCCACTATTAAGGTGTACAAAGAGTGCCACTTTCCCAGCCTCCTCTGGAAATTATTATCCTCAATAAATTCTGTAGCTGCCTAAGAGTATCTGGGCACTAGATCATAGTGACTTCCAAATGTCCCAGGAGAGTCATTAATGCAGATGATATTTCAGAATCCATTGAGTCAAAAACATAAGGTCTTTGAGCACAGCCCTGCCCCAACCTCCCCTGAAAGGGGGGAGTGGAAGTTAGGATCCACTCAGGGGCCAGAGCCCTTCTCCCTCGGCAGCAACTTGGTAAAATTGAGTGATGGCTCTATGGATAGCTCTTCCTTTGCCTTGCTTCAACTACCTACCAATCCCCAAAGGTAAGTAATATCACCCCTGAGCAAACAAAGACATGGCATGATTACGTAACTTGTCCACAGTCATACAGCTATGAGCAGAAGACCTAGAATCTGAACCCATATTTGCCTTAGTTCAAAGTCTATGATCTTACCAACCACTGCCTCAAGGTAAAAATGAAGAACAGTACTGGAGGACAAAAAAGCACAGCTGAACCCCATGTCAGTGAGACAATCGTTAGGGCTTACTGATTTCAACACTAATTCCCATCACCGCCAAAGAGGAAGAGAAAGTGAGTACAAATTGTGGCCACCTGGTCATCCAGAAGAGCGCCAGAGCCCAGCTATGCTAGAAATCAATATAAATGAATGCAGAGATTTTCAGTAAGTGGGTCTGCCTTGGAGTGTCTGGAAAAAGATATTTTTGTTGTTGTTGCTTCTTTGTTTTTATTTTTCATCAATGGCCAAACCCACTTTTGATAATGAAATGACGACTTTCTCAAAATGGCTAGGCTTATACTCACTCAAGGCTCATTCCAGGACCTAGGAGACATGAGAACACCAATAGATTTGTCAAAATAATCATTTAAATGAGAGAAAGAATTAGTCTCAATAAGAAGCTGGAATTATAGAATCTTTAAAACTAATATAACCATGTTATGGCAATTTGGAAAATAGAGAAATGAAAGCATACATAATTCCAACTCTACCACCATCATTGTTACCATTTCATACAACTTATGTACATATTTTATATGCATATTTACAGACTTTGTAATAATTGTGTGCATATTTTGTACCCATTTTAAAATTTTAATTCCAGTATAATTAACATACAGTGTTCTATTCGTTCCAGGTATACAATATAGTGATTCAACAATTCTGTACATTACTTAGTGCTCATTAAGGTAAGGGTACTCTTTAATTCCCTTCACCTATTTCCTTCATTCTGCCCCCCACCTCCCCTCTGGTAACCATCAGTTTGCTCTACTACATTTAAGAGTCTGTTTTTTGGTTTGTCTCGTTTGTTTGTTTGTTTTGTTTCTTAAATTCCACATATGAGTAAAATTATATGGCATTTGTCTTTCTCTGACTTATTTCACTTAGCATTATATCCTCTAGATCCATCCATGTTGTTGCAAATGGCAAGATGTCATCCTTTTTTATGGCCAAGTAATATTCCATTGCATGTATATACCACATGCTTTTTATCGGTTCATCTATCAATGGACACTTGGGCAGCTTCTGTAATTTGGCCATTGGAAATAATACTGCAATGAACACAGGGGTACAAGTATCTTTTCAAATTAATGTTTTGGTATTCTTTGGGTAAATACTTACTAGTGGAATTACTGGATCATATGGTAATTCTATTTTTAATTTTTTGAGGAAACTCCATACTGTTTCTCACAGTGGCTGCACCAGTTTGCATTTCTAGTATCCTGCTTTTTTTTTCCTATTACATCATAGGCACTTTTACATTTTGATTAATAGCCTTCTTAACAGTTTATTTAGTTAGCTATATAGGATTTCATGAAGTGGGCTACAACCAAAATTTACTTACATCATTCCTCTGCAATGGATATTTGGTCATTCCAAGTTTTTGCTGTTATAAATTATTCTGCAGTGAACATCTTTATGCAAATAGTATTTTATTGGCATTAAGTGTTAAGATTCTTTACTTCTTCTTATATTCACTACCACTCTAGGCCTAATCTTAAACATCACATCTCCGAATTAATAGATTAACATGCTAGCCAGTCTGCCTTGCTTCCAATCTGTCCTGCATAACACTAAGAGATTAATTATCCTAAAATACCACTTTCATCATATCACTGTCCTACTTAAAATATCCTTATTTGCCTGTCTTCCATGTGGTATGATTGGACTACTCTATTATAACCCTTACAGGCCAAAACGTAAAGTGTGTTGGGCCCCCAAAGGCTAACCGGCAGGAACCAGGGAATAAACTGGAGCCAATGGGACTAGATTCACAATACACCAACCCAGGAACAATAGTGGGTCCCTAAATGCTTGTCACAGTGTCCACTGAAGCAAGAAAAACTTGGGTCCAGTTCAAGTTGGATCCA